CATTCACATTACAAACCTCATCACATATTAACTAACACCCAGCAACAGGATACACTTTTGCACAACACCGGAATCTCATAACAACACAGCACCACCATACACTGGCAATCTCCTCGTCGTCTTCTTACCCTCAAATCACTAGTCACAACGGCGTCACACCCCTGTCCCACTCGGAGAACAACTCACACGTGAAATCCTTCCACCTCTTGCTTCTAGTCTTACAGCCGACCAATTCACACTGGCTGACTACCATTGATCAACTCATCTCATACCGGTAATCATCCAGACCCATGTGCGATTCTTCTTATCCTGAATCCTCGAGGAGTCGGGTAGATTGGAGGAGCAACTGGGAGTACCATTCTGATGACTGGCATGACTAGATTGATGCAGGCGTGTCCACCGACTCCATGCTAACCAATTGGTCGATGAACATCTCACACCAAGAATATCACTGTCCCACTATAATCGACGCATTCCTCAATTTACACCCGCCCACTCCCCACACAAACGGAAACACACACAAAGGCACACACGCGCACACATCACATCACACACAGCACAGCACAGCACAGCACAGCACAATATGACAAATCACAACACAACGCAACACATCACAACCTAACACATACGTGTGAACTCACCACACTCAACCACTGACGCCACAATGTCCTTCTCCACATCCTACACTGTCAATCTCTTCATCCATTATCTTCACACTCACCCACTAGACACGAGTGGTCGACACAGGTGTTTAGTGGGATTCTGGAGAGATGGGAGTGACTGGTGGTAACACTTCACCGTATTCCATGGTGTGATATGCTGCCTGACTGGATTTCACTTGTCAGTCGACACAAGGTAGAAATGTCTACAGGAGGGTTGATTTCACCGCTCCGAGGTGAAGTGTCACATCACACTTACACCGGGGTGACAGGCAGAGCTACTCGAACCCAGACACATGCGCACAATCGTCCATCCAACCACACATTCATCTATCATCCACACAAACATCCACACACAATTACACACCCTCACACCCACCCACACACACACACACACACACAAGCATACGCGCATACCTATATAGATACATGAATTCATGCGTACTTCCATACATACGTGCATACATTCACACATACATAAATAGATACACGCATACGCGCAGAAAATACCACAAAATGAGACAGATCCACGTTCACACTGTTAACCGAAGGTACTCAAACAAAGAAATAGACAGACAAACACCCATAGACACACACACACACGCACACAGAAGGAGATGGGTGGTCAGAAAGATACGTAGATATTTAGATCGCGCGCTCGAGAGAGAGAGAGTAAGAAAGAGGGAGACAGCGGGAGGCGGAGTGCTAGAAGTGTGGAAGAGAGAGAGAGAGGGAAGTACACTGCGACACAGCAACAATCCAACTCACAAAGAAGCACGTGGATAGACACACGAACGCACCTCTCAATTCTTATGCGCTGGCACATGGATACGCATATAAACAGAGTCAGACACGCACACACACACGCACACAGTCACACTCATTCACCCACTCATTCAGTCACTTACTCGCTCGCTCGCTCGCTCACAATCAACCGGGAATGAAGGCGAAGACTCAGGGTCGCCTTTGTTGAAATACACGTGCACTGGTGCACACACAAAATCCCCGCTGGAGACACGCGCTTCAACGCACACCTGAGAACACACACTTGTGTACGCGGTCTGCGAAACACGCAGGCAGGCACGTACACAGATACATTCAGACAGGTTGACAGCGAAGGATTTTGGAAAGTGCAGTCGGGATGCATTGGCCGACTAAAATCCGTGCTCCGAGAGAGGCTCGAACTCTCGACCTCCGCATTATAAGTACGGCGCTCTAACCAACTAAGCTACCGGAGCACGTTCGCCCGACAACCGTCAACACACACCCATCCAACAACACAAACACCAACACCAACACCAACTACTCAACATCACAGCCAACAACCAAACACAACACTACATGCAACGCCAAACACTAACCACAAACAACACACATTCACATTACAAACCTCATCACATATTAACTAACACCCAGCAACAGGATACACTTTTGCACAACACCGGAATCTCATAACAACACAGCACCACCATACACTGGCAATCTCCTCGTCGTCTTCTTACCCTCAAATCACTAGTCACAACGGCGTCACACCCCTGTCCCACTCGGAGAACAACTCACACGTGAAATCCTTCCACCTCTTGCTTCTAGTCTTACAGCCGACCAATTCACACTGGCTGACTACCATTGATCAACTCATCTCATACCGGTAATCATCCAGACCCATGTGCGATTCTTCTTATCCTGAATCCCCGAGGAGTCGGATAGATTGGAGGAGCAACTGAGAGTACGATTCTGATGACTGGCATGACTAGATTGATGCAGGCGTGTCCACCGACTCCATGCTCACCAATTGGTCGATGGACATCTCACACCAAGAATATCACTGTCCCACTATAATCGACGCATTCCTCAATTTACACCCGCCCACTCCCCACACAAACGGAAACACACACAAAGGCACACACGCGCACACATCACATCACAGCACAGCACAGCACAGCACAGCACAGCACAATATGACAAATCACAACACAACGCAACACATCACAACCTAACACATACGTGTGAATTCACCACACTCAACCACTGACGCCACAATGTCCTTCTCCACATCCTACACTGTCAATCTCTTCACCCATTATCTTCACACACACCTACTAGACAGGAGTGGTCGACACAGGTGTTTAGTGGGATTCTGGAGAGATGGGAGTGACTGGTGGTAACACTTCACCGTATTCCATGGTGTGATATGCTGCCTGACTGGATTTCACTTGTCAGTCGACACAAGGTAGAAATGTCTACAGGAGGGTTGATTTCACCGCTCCGAGGTGAAGTGTCACATCACACTTACACCGGGGTGACAGGCAGAGCTACTCGAACCCAGACACATGCGCACAATCGTCCATCCAACCACACATTCATCTATCATCCACACAAACATCCACACACAATTACACACCCTCACACCCACCCACACACACACACACACACAAGCATACGCGCATACCTATATAGATACATGAATTCATGCGTACTTCCATACATACGTGCATACATTCACACATACATAAATAGATACACGCATACGCGCAGAAAATACCACAAAATGAGACAGATCCACGTTCACACTGTTAACCGAAGGTACTCAAACAAAGAAATAGACAGACAAACACCCATAGACACACACACACACGCACACAGAAGGAGATGGGTGGTCAGAAAGATACGTAGATATTTAGATCGCGCGCTCGAGAGAGAGAGAGTAAGAAAGAGGGTGACAGCGGGAGGCGGAGTGCTAGAAGTGTGGAAGAGAGAGAGAGAGGGAAGTACACTGCGACACAGCAACAATCCAACTCACAAAGAAGCACATGGATAGACACATGAACGCACCTCTCAATTCTTATGCGCTGGCACACGGACACGCATATAAACAGAGTCGGACACGCACACACACACGCACACAGTCACACTCCTTCACCCACTCATTCAGTCGCTTGCTCGCTCGCTCGCTCGCTCACAATCAACCGGGAATGAAGGCGAAGACTCAGGGTCGCCTTTGTTGAAATACACGTGCACTGGTGCACACACAAAATCCCCGCTGGAGACACGCGCTTCAACGCACACCTGAGAACACACACTTGTGTACGCGGTCTGCGAAACACGCAGGCAGGCACGTACACAGATACATTCAGACAGGTTGACAGCGAAGGATTTTGGAAAGTGCAGTCGGGATGCATTGGCCGACTAAAATCCGTGCTCCGAGAGAGGCTCGAACTCTCGACCTCCGCATTATAAGTACGGCGCTCTAACCAACTAAGCTACCGGAGCACGTTCGCCCGACAACCGTCAACACACACCCATCCAACAACACAAACACCAACACCAACACCAACTACTCAACATCACAGCCAACAACCAAACACAACACTACATGCAACGCCAAACACTAACCACAAACAACACACATTCACATTACAAACCTCATCACATATTAACTAACACCCAGCAACAGGATACACTTTTGCACAACACCGGAATCTCATAACAACACAGCACCACCATACACTGGCAATCTCCTCGTCGTCTTCTTACCCTCAAATCACTAGTCACAACGGCGTCACACCCCTGTCCCACTCGGAGAACAACTCACACGTGACATCCTTCCATCTCTTTCTTCTATTCTTCCACTCCCCTCTTCGCACACAATCGGATACACACACAAGCGCGCAGACGCCTACACATCGCATCACCTCATTGCAAAACACAGCACAAGGCAACATGCTTAATGTTTTTTCTTAGCGGAATCCTCTTTGTTGACATATTACCCTTGTTTATTCTACTCTCACTTTTAATTTTTGTTACTAAATCTGTCATCAACCAAACTTTGATCACAGGAGTTTTCAAATTATTGTGACTTACATGGTTTTTTTTATAGAGAAATATTTTTAATTTTTTTATACATAACTACAGTAGACAATGTGGAACCATTATACCGAAGTTGATTTGCAGCTACATGCCGCTTACTCCAGCAGAGTGTCTCAAGCAACCCAAGTAGACCAGCATATATATATGATCAAAATTCAACAAAAGTTTAGCGGTTTTTTAAAATTTATATTTTTGTTTTATTTCAAAGAAATTTTTCTTTTTTGAGAGATTTTCAGATATTTATGTATGTATGTATGATAAAAGTGTACATTGATGGATTACCTAAAATGTACAAAGACCTTAGAGATAGTAGAGATATTTTTAAGCTTAAATTGTTTCGTCATTATTATGAATTTAGTTTTCTGGGGCAGCATCGTGTATTTACACGCTTTATATGCATATAGAGGTGTGTGTGTATATTACAAATCATTTAAGTTTAAACCTATTTATATATAAGAAATGTTAGAAATACGCTTATTTTAATTGTGCTGACAGACACCAATTAAGTCTAGAGTCTAAGGTACGTGCACAACGTCGTAGTGTATAAATATCACGTGCAGACATTATAACAACATATTGTAAAAATCCACACCATGGAAGTTTAGAATAAATCTCCAGATCACATTTATACCGTTCACAGATGGCTTTAATCCGGCGGTCATCAGGATCAGCTAGAATCTCTTCAATATTAGCACTTTCAGGGATAAAAAATTTACGACGAATTAATTTTTTTATACGTGATGATATTGGTGTTGGCGGTGTCATAGCCTGTGAAGGATTATTAATTGATGCGAAAAACGGCAGATTGGCTGTTGGTTCTCGTGATGCAGTTAAAGGTCTTGATGTCGACTTTTGTAATGGTGCAGAAGATATACTTTCATTTGATAATCGTCTGTGTAGAACAGGTAGATTAGTTGGCGGTGAAGACATGATAGACCGGTTACTCTGATTGATCAGTTGTACTTTTGAATCATTCAGTGTATCTGAATAATTTATTGTAGATGTTGCATTCACCTGCAGTAGTAATTCTGGTGGTTTCAAATCACTATAGTCAAAACCCGGCTGTATCATCAACGATTTAGTAGGATTTTTATCCCATGCTGCTTGTGATGTTGGAGGAGTTAGAGTCTTAGTTGCAAGGTACTTTGACCTACGACGACTATGACCAGTCTGAGTATGATTCTTAAAGTTACTGTTATCGTTATTACTATTTGACTTATAATAAGTTCCACGAAAATATCTAGGTTGTAGGGAATGAGACTGACGCTTACGTCTTATTCTAGAGTGATGTGATTTTGTCGACTGTATGGTGCAGTTATCTTTTGAGTATACCACTTTTTCAAGTGATCTACTTTGTCTTTTTTGTAAACTACCTTTGATATTTTCTGGTTTTTTATTGCTATCTATCTGTATAGTATTCTCTTCAACTGGATTATCCATATTAGAATTAGTTTGATTAGATGAATTAACCTCCGGGAGATCTGGATCTGTTTTGATATCAGAGGGTAAAGTCTCAACAGTATCATAGTTCCTTTGTATTCCTGATTGATTAATCGTATCAGCTTGTAGATCTGTAGTTTTTATCGATTCACTTGCCTTTAAGTGATCAGTATTAAGTTCAGTTTTGTGAGTAGTTGGCGGTCGATATATTGGTGAAGGCAGAATAGTCTTCGGGATTGGTATCCTAGATTCTCTCAGTGAACGACTACTTGGTACAATAATCTGTGTGTTATTTGAGTCAGGTGATGAGTTTGAATCTTTTGGTTTACTAGACTGATGAGGTGTAGAATTATCATACGATGAGTTTAGTAATGTGTTTTTAAAGCTGGCAGGTAGATTACTTTTGGGGGTATACTGTCTTCCCACGTGTTGATGAACATCTAATTTCAAGTCTACAGGTTTTTCATAAATTTTAGAAGTAATGTTACTAGACGGGGCTGCACTACTCGTCTTCTGAGAATTTAGGCATGGTGTCAGAGACTGATCGATTTCCTCATGTTTTGGTTGATCTGAAGAGCCTTCTTCACTTTTTTTCGCATTTAAATGACACAGAGGTTGTTCTTTATCTAAAGAATCTATGCTAACTTGATTAGTATTCAAACCTTGTGATGTGGCTTTTATAATTTCATGTTCATTATTTAAATTAATTTGTTCTAATGAACTGACAGATGAAGCATTTGTAAAAGAACCACCAGATAAATCAATATGTGAACTAATCTCCACCTGTGGTCCTGGTATATAGTAACTTTCTGATGGATGACACTGGCGTTTACTGTTGTGATGAATGTGATTCGGCTTCTTTTGTGATCTTGCAGAAATTAAACATTTTTGATTTTGCTTTATCGTAGATGAAGTTAGCGGGTGTAGAGAGTCACCAAAAGCTGAAACATCTGTTAAGGGAACATAATAACTGGGATAAGGAATTCTATCTTTATTTTCTTGTGCCGGTTCTCCAGACTGTCCCAAATCACCAGTGGAGGATTTTGAACGTTTGTATTGGCCAAAATCTTTAGTATAACTACTACCACTACTATTATTATGATGATGATAATAATTGGAACTGTCAAATACACTCGGCTGACATTTCATTTTCTCCTCACATTCTTGTTCATAAGTAAGCGGATTTATAGATTTCGATGGGAATGTCGCCGACAGACTACCTGTATCACAATTATCATTACAATCTGTAGAATCCTTTACAATTTCATGATTATCACCTTTTGATGCGTATTCAGCCTTTCTGTAACAATCACCATGTGATATCCCTTCAAATTTGCGGTTTGACTCAATCATTCTTATAGGTGGTGTAACACTGGAACAACGTTGTCCTCCAGACAAGGAACTAACATCGACAGACCATTCAGACAATGAATTTAACATGTTATTCGAATGATTTGTTAATAAATCTACACAGGGTAAAAATGCCTCGCTGTCATTTATTCCAGTTTTAGACAAATGCATTGTGGAAATTTTGCTTTTTCTATCCCTTTGACATTGTGATGATTTGTCAGCTATTTTAAGGGGTATATCTGATTTCAAATTCTTACTGTGATCATACCTTTCATGAATATTACTCCCATTGTACTGATGATTATGATGGTGATGATTACATAATATCTCTTGATAACTATGATTATTTGACATTGTCATTTCTTTTCTAGTAGTCTGTAGCTGTAATTGTTCTTCATACTGTACAGCACGTGAAATAACAAATTTTCGACAATTTGAAGTATAATTCTGTTGACTTCTTGTTAAGTGTCTATCAAAGTTTGGTTTTTGACAGTGATATTCACATGTGGACTTTAAATTATCCGGCATACAACAAACTGTGTTTCCCATGGATAATTCATGTGAATTTTTATTGTATTTACTATTTGATATTTTAACTTTTGTAGCGTTAGGTGTTAAATTATCCTCTTCACTGTATAATGAAAGTGATGATTTGTTTAAATCCTTTGTTAAATGTTCAAGATTAGAAGTGTTTGCCTTTTGTTTATTGATATTTGAACCTGTTGATATATGATAGGTTAAAATAGAATCAGATTTATTAGGTAGTGTACAGCTGGTATTCTCTAAACTGATATGTTCAGTTTTACAATCGGAACAGTCAGAAGTATCACGAGATGGTACAGTGCATACATCAGCTACAAATTCAACACAATATTTCGGCATAATTTCCTATTCATGTTTTTGATACACACACTAATGGCGTTTAAATGAATATCATTAGTATTCTTATTATTATCATCATTAACTTGTAATTGTCGATCGATACAATCCAATCAATAAGCTTACTGACATTTAAAACACAATTGGCTGATAAAAGGTAAAGTGTTAGTTTATATATTATTATTGTATTTGTATTATTATATTATTATTATTCCCTTGGGTTCCTAGCGGAACATGCGGCTTCAACAACACATATCCACTCTGTTCTATTTTCTGTCGTCCTCTTCAGTTAGGTCCAAGACTGCCCATAATCTGTCAACTTTTCCTCTTCCTCTCACGATCTCCTCCATGTCACCGTCACACGTATGACCCACTCGTCGCTTCCCATTTGGATTCCACTCAAGTGATGGCCTGCATTGTGCGCGATGTTATTCGACGACCCCCTCAACGTCCACCCGGTCCATCTCCATCGGGATAGAAACATGAGCAAATTGTGATTGACCATAGAAATATTTTTCAATAAACCTTATAAAAACTGAGTAATTCTGAAGAAAATATCAGGGGTATTAAGATGGATAATGACACGTGACGTTGAAAATCATTGTCTCCGTAGGAACATGAGTTCCTTCACCCGACTGGTGAGTGCCAGCTAGCAAGAAACCTAGGTCAAGTAAAGCTTTCTGCCATTTGCCTCCAACCATTTAATATCAACATTGGTGATATGTCTCAAAACATCAGATATACTAAATTTGATTAATTTTCTCATTTTATTGTCCCCCTACATTTGTCTAACTAATTTCATTTTTAAAATAGTTTAAGTTTTTATTTATTTGTGTTTTTAGAAAGTTCCAGTGCAAGGGGAACTGTGTAAAAGAACTTTTATTGCTTCAGAACTACACGTTAGTTAGTTACGCAACCAGACCAACGTTGACATTGTTCACTAGAGACAAATTACCAACGATGGCAACATTAATGTTTGCATACAAATTTAACAACTCCTTTGGAGCTAGTAATATAGGTCATACTCACATGAGCCATGAAAAGCATTTCTAACAGGTTGTCACAGATTTTTATCAACAGATACCCAATTCTCTGGCTCCATACTGAAGATCATATGGCCAGTCAGAAAGGATTTCCTACAAGAAACTTTGGCTGGCATCAAACCAACCAAGAGCTGATTGCCCAAAATATATATAGGAGAAAACGGAGATGGATAGGGTATACGTTTAGGAGGCTGTCAAATGACATCGCTCACAGTGCAGGCCATCGCTAGATTGGAATGCAAATGGGAAGTGACGAGTGGGTCATCAGTGTGAGGGTGAAATGGAGGAGGTCTTGTGGCGAGGAGGAGATGAGGGATTACTGGCAATCGTGAACTCAGCTGAAGAAGGCAGGAGAAAACAGAACAGAGTGGATGTGTGTTGATGAAGGCCAATGTTCCCCCTTGAACCCAAAGGAATTATTATTATTGTTTCCTTTAATTCCTACAGGAAATTAGGGCTTCAGCCGTGCGTCTCCATTGCGTTCGGTTCTCTTCTAAAGTCTTCCCCTGGCTCCAAGTCTGCCCACACGTTTTCATCTCCTCTTCACATGACCTCCTCCAAGTCACCCTCGCACTGACAACCAACTCGCCGCTCCCCTTTCGGGTTCCACTCGGGTGATGGCTTGTCTAGTGATGTCACTTGATGGTTTCCTCAGAGTATGGCCAATCCATCTCCATTTCTTCCTGCCTATTTGTTTCACAATCGGTTCCTGGTGTGTTGGTTCGCTCATTGCCGGAGATCTCTGTTGCTGATCTTTTCTGGCCATCTGATCTTGAGTATTGAGCGAAGACAACTGTTAATGAAGGTCTGTAGTTTGTTTGAGATGCTCTTTATGACGCGCCAAGTCGAACCCAAAGGAATAATAAATAATAATTTCACTGAACTATCGGTTCATAATTTATGTTATATTCTAAATGACTGTATACTTTATATGCATTTATTTGACAATGTTAACTAACGGACTATTTTCATTCAACCTTATGCTTGTTCCCCTATATAGTTTCTGATATAGTTTAGCTAATTAGATATCAGTTATCGAGAACAATATTTTCGTTTACTAGGCAATAAGGCACACATTGTGGGAGGGTCAGCTATACTATCCCGTTGCTCAAACTAAATTTAGACTAACTGACTGAATGACTGAAAGTCGAGTTTTCAAATAATAGAGATTTATAGCTTAGATGGCTGATTCTGGTTTAGTTGTTTTCTCTGAGCCGCTTGATTTAAGTGCGTGGATTTCGTTGTCATTCAGACAACGCAGGTTTTAGTATGAATAAGTCGATTTGTTAGTTGGTTTGAGGCGTTGTTGACGAGTGTCAAAAAGCACGAAACCTAGGCCCAAGGCTTCCTACCGAATGCCTTCAGCCATGGAATAACAATAGTTTAGAACACACCGTGATGGAGATCCACCTAGTATGCTAGCCACATCGAAAACTGGACTGTTAGAATTCAGTCTGCAGCAAAACAAATGACTGCACGCATGACAATAGTTACTTACCACCCAGTTTTCAATCAAAGTAAGAGTTGAGTGTTTTTGATACAATCTTAGTTGACCATTCCTTGCAAGATGATTTTGTTAACTGAGACTTTCCAACACAGTGACATTACAAAATATTCCCGTCTGAGAGATAAGTTTACTCTATGGTCATGCCACTAATTGTATTAGTTTTCAACAAAATAATAAGATAACATAGTTTGTCTGAAACGTGTAATGTATTTGTGCAACACATTTCGGACATTATGATCACACACATACTTGTTATACAAAGCTATACAGAAGGCAAGAAAGCATGAATTATTACAATATAGGTCAACCTGTGTACAAGGTCAAGGTCAAGAATAGACGGCAAGAATATGACGTAAGGGTGTGGGGTAAGAAGGAAGACGGTGAAAATAGCATGAAGTAAATTGAACCTTGGTTATAAAGTCGATTACCAAGGCAGGCTTAAAGTAATAATAAAAAGTTTTTTGACACATAACACAGGTTTAAGCCGTTTTATAGCCAAGGCCTCAGTGAATTCGTTCAAATTCATACAGGGAACCGATTGCTTTATATTAGTTTTATAATTGGAGGTAATGGATGATGCTTTCATCGACTGAAGTAACGAGAGCTATATTTCTGAATTTACTGTGAAGCCTATAGTCCTTATGAGTAGAATATGAGAAGCTGTATGTTCTCATTTTTCTATTACAAGTTCCATATATATATATATATATATATATGTATATATACATATATATGTATATATATATATGCTTAGAATTGATGGAACCATGGTTCTGACTTAAGCCAAATAGGTTTGATATTTCATGACTAACATGCTTCTGTAGAAAGAAAAACAAAACGAAAAGACTATTGCAACGAAGAAAAGGGATGAGAAAGTCCCAGAATTATTTCCACTCAGAGATTAAAATATAATAAATAACACGATGATGAAATTATGTAATACAAATAGGGAATGAAAATATAAGAGTGAAAATAAACAGAAAGTTCGGTTAAAAAAATAAAAACTGGGTAATAATTGTTGAGGAGATGGACTATCTCTGATGGCCATGGTAAAGACAAAGGCTGGATGTACTTCTTCGGGATGACTGACTGACTGGTTTCAAGGTAGGACTTTTCACAGATGTGCACCAGTTCCAGTTGCTACTCTCCCCCATGTACCACACAAAGCAAGAGAAGAAGGTAAAGAGAGATTCAAAAGACAAATAATAAACAGAAGTGTGAATGAGCGAAAAAGAACGCTAACATGGAAAAATAATAGAGTTTTATTGGACTTGATAAAATGCAAAGAGTTAATGCATCTGCTCCAGTCATTGAGAAAGAGGATTTTGAGCCATCAGTTGTCTCAAGCCTTCATTGGTTTTAACTATCCTGAGGACCCCAACCAGGAAGTCTGCACCTCCCTACACCTTCTTTAAGATACCCAGCATTGGCATGGATTTTTGTATCCCTAATGCTCCTGTTATGTCCATATGTCTTCGTCTCACTTCCTTTGAGAGTTTAGAAAGGATATTGTATTGAACTTTGAAGAATGAATGTTTTTACGTCAATGTATATGTCCATTAAGAAAAGCATTATAACACTATTTATTCCATGAAATCTATAAACCTCTAACCTAAAGCCTCAGATAACCCTGATTTTTGAGTTTGATGAGCGCAGTTATGTCTAACTGTATTGTTCATAGTAATAATACACAGTTGGAAAAATAAGTTTAAAAATTCATACTACTATATATTTGTAAGTAGTCAAAATAATTACAAAAAAGTCAACGTAGATTCTATCGTGTACCGACGTTGGTGGAAGAATTATTGAAAATTCCTTTGAAATGTGTTAGAATTCGGAGATTGCAGCATCGGAATGAAGAAAACGATTTTGTTTTAGTTGTTCACAGTCTACTGAAGTTTTTATGTCAATTCAACACTCATATAAACTATTATTAACGCTGAATTTTAATCAGAGTATTCAAAAACGTAATCACCTTTATTATTATCGGCATTATTAATATTATTATTGTTATTCCCTTGGGTTCCGACTGGAACACAGAGCTTCTATAGCAGGTCCCAATTTTGACCCGTTCTTCACAGTCCTCTTTATCTGGCTCCAAGATCGTCCACTAGCTCCCATCTCCACCTTAAACTGTGTCTTCCTCAATTAGTGCCTTGAACGTCATCTGATAAACGTCAGAACTCCTCAATGAGTTCCAGTTCTGAGAACAGATATCTGAATATGCGCTACAATATCTTCATCAAAAAGTGAGTATCCTGAGAAAAACTTAATCCTTAAATCTGATTGAAAACTTCATAAGTGCTCAATTAAAACACTGAAACTTTTTATTACTCTATGTGTACTGTAAATGGCTTAGTCAGTAACAAAATAGGTTTGTAGATGTCAGTAGGCGTGGATTCCATGAATCCTACTGAGCAGATGAAGGGTAAACTGATTGTTTGGAAACTTGT